GCTTTAGTAATTTGAGCCCCTCACACTTTTGCCCAGGGCCAGCCTCACCATGCTCCTCCCACTTCTGGCCTGCATTACAGATATGCCCCACCACAACTAGCTTGAGACAGAGTCTCACTAACTTTTTGCCCAGACCATCCTTGAACCCCTATCCTCCCAGTCTCTACCTCCTGAGTGGATAGGATTTAAATTGTTTTTGTACAGGAGTTGTGTGTGCCCATAATTACAATGAATTTTAGAATGTTTTTAATCACCTTAAATAAAATGAAGGAAACACACACACGCATATACAGAAACCTATACCACTGAGCTCTACCACATAGACCCACTCACTTTCTCCTCACTTCAGCCCTAAGTAATCATTGATTTACTCTGTGTCTCCATAAATTTGCCCATTCTGGGTATTTCATATAAATCGAGTGAAATAATATGTGGTCTTTTGTGACCGGCATCTTTTCCTTAGCATAAGGATCTTAAGGCTCATCCATGCTGTAGCATAATTAATTCCTCTTATGGCTTAAGAATATTCCATTATGTGGATAGTTCACATTTTGTTTATCCATTTGTTAGTTGATGGACATTTGGGTTGTTTCCATTTTTGGCTAATAGAAAAAAAAAGTAACTTTCACTTTAGGAAGAACTGCCAGGTTGTTTTCCTTATTGGCTGTACCATTTTACATTTCTGCCAGCAGTATATGGAACTTATTTCTTCCCATACTTCCGAATTCTTGCTATTGTCTGTCTTTTTTTATTATGGCCATCAAAAGTAGTATAACAGTCTAATGTGGTGGTGTACGCTCTCGATCCTCCTGCCTCAGTCTCCTGAGTGCTGGGATTGCAGGACCCAGCCTGGGTTACAGAGATATACTCTGTCTGAAAAAAAAGGAGTAACTCACTGTGGTTTTGTTTTGCACTACCTGAAGACTAATGATATTGACCATCTCTTCCTGTTATGTTTGCCATTTGTATATCTTCTCTGGAGAAATGTTCTTCCAAATCATTTGCCCATTTTAATTAAGCTGTGTGCCTTTTTATTATCGAGTTGTAAGAAACTTTATAGAAATGTATTCTAGATACAAGTGTCTTATCATATATGTGATGTACAACTCCATTTTGTGTGTTGTGTTTTTGCTTTCTTGGTAGTGTCATTTGGAGCACAAAAGGTTTTTGTTTGTTTGTTTGTTTTTGTTGTTGCTGTTTTTGGTAGTACTGGGGTAATGAACTCAGGGCCTCATGCTTGTTAGGTGGGCTCTCTACCACTTGAGTCACTCCACCACTCCATTTTTGTGTTAGGTTTTTTTTGAGATAAAGTCTCATGAACAATTTGCCTGGGGCTGGCTTTGAACCATGGCCCTCCTGATCTCTTCCTCCTGAGCAGCTAGAATTATACGTGTGAGCCACCGCGCCTGGCTTAAAAGCGTTTAATTTTAATGAAGTTTAATTTATCTAGGTCTTCCTTTTGTTGCTGTGTATTTTGTGTAATATCTAAAAATCCACTGCCAAATTCAAGATTAAATTCCTATGTTTTCTTCTGAAAATTTTATAATTTTAGTTCTTACATTTAGTCCTTTGGACAATTTTGAGTTAAATTTTATATATTGTGTGAGGTTATGGTCCAGATTTGTTCTTTTGCATGTGGATATCCAGTTGTCCCATCACCATTTGTTGAAAAGATTATTCTTTCCCCCCTTGAATTGTTTTGATAACCTTGTCAAAAATCAGTTGGCCATAAATGTGGTTTATTTCTGGATTTTTAATTCTATCCCATTGTCTCATGCAGTACCACACTGCCTCGATTACTGTTGCCATGTAATAAGCTGTAGAATCAGGAACCAAGAGTCTTTTTACTTTGTTCTTTTTCAAGATTTTTTTTTTTTTGGCTACTCTGGATACATGGGTTTCTATAAGAATTTTAGGATCAGTCTGTGAGAGTTTACAAAGAAACCACCTGAGATTCCAGTAGAGATTGCGTTGAATCTGTAGATCAGTTTGGGGAATACTGTCCCCTTTACAACATCGTTTTCCCAGCTGTGAACATGGGGTATCTCTCCATTCATTTAAATCATGGGACCACTGTTGTGTATGTGGTCCACTATTGACTAAAATATCGTTATGCAGTGCATGGCTGTATATTAGGTGCTAAATAAATTCATGCATTCAAAGACCTGTTGGATACATAGGACAAGCCATGTAGCTTGACAATTATTCAGTAGGTCAATGAATCTCAGCCAACGTGTGGAAGTTAGTATATATGTGTCTCTGTGTGTACTTAGATGTGGTACATGAAAAGTCTGTGTAGCTAAGTTGTAAAGCACTTGGATTCCTGTTTGCTGGCTGTATTGGAAAGATTACTTAACTTAGTCTTTAAGGCTCAATTTTCTCATCTATATAAAGGGCTTATAATTGTTTTTTACTTTGTAGGATTCCTGATGTAAATATTAAATAATGTAAAAGAAGGAAGGAACTAAGCAGCACCCAGCATATAACAGTGTTTTGTAAATGTTAGCTAGCACTATTGGGGGGGGGGCATAATGCATTTTCTGAACATTTCTGAACAATGTTTCCTAAATATGTATAATACCTATTTTCAAATGTATATAAATGCTGCTGTGGGGATGAAAAATAAAAAATTAACTTAAGTATATTACAAAGTCACAATATATTTCTGTCTTTTTTGTCCAATCAGAAGTGACTACAAGTATAACCAAATACTTTTGTGTGGCTGGAGGCATCCATAACAATTTTTAACCAAAACAAACAATCCTCTTATTAGGCTATAATTTCCATGAAGGTAAAATCTTTGATTTTCTTATACTTCTCTGAATATTTATTACCAAATACATGTAATAGGCCCACTATAAATATTTGTTTCTTATTGTTTGTGAATATAAATATTCACACTGTTGGAAAACACTACTCTTGAGTAATAAGTGAAAATTTGTCACTGGCTTGATTGTGGGAATGCTTGCAAAAAAATAGCTTGAAGCTTTTTGGGAACTGGGTTTCAAGAGTCTTGGCTTTTTAGTGGCTCTAACCTATCCAGCAAACACTTCGTATACTAGAGTGGCTAACTAATAACACAGGAAATTGGAAGTCAGAGTTTTCCACCTCTTCTGAAGATAAGAATAATCACAGCAAATTCTGGGTAGTCTGTCACACAAGGAAGAATTTGCCATCTCTAAGGTTTCCTTGCATATGGGTATCCCTGTAATCATGCTCAAATGTGTTGACAGACAACCCCCACCCCACCACACATACACAGATATAGCTGTCTCCCATTTTACACAAGAAGCAGATGTAAATGAATCTTATTCTCAGTTATTTGGAAAAGTGTTTAAATGAGTCATTAGTAATTTGTTTCTGAAAGCCAAAAGTCTTTGTCTGGTGGTAGTATTTGCACTTTGCTTTATCAGTTTGAAGCTAAGAGTTTTGTATTTGACTTTACGTCAAGTTTCAGACACCTGTACAAATGAGCCTAGGGCAAAGAATTAGACTTTCTTTGTAGGAATTGGCAGATTTTTAGAGAGAAGTGTTTTCTGTTAAGTAATGAGAGGGAATCACCCATCAGTAATTAGAGTGAGGAAAAGAGAGAAAGGATGATGATGAGGGTGGTGGTCCAGCTCAGTTTACTAGTGGCTTCCTGCATAGGAGAGAAGTCTGCAGCCTGAGGACCCCCCACCCCTCCTCTAGCTGTGTAACACGGGCAAGTGAGGCAGAGAGTGATGCTCTGCTCACTTCACCCTCTGCCAGGGGCAAAAACCTCACAGTATTATGTCATTTGACAGTGACTTGGTCTGGGGGATCACCATGAACTTTGTTTAGGACATTATCCCCCAACTTAGAAATCACAGCGAAAGCCTGGTCACCCTCCTCCCTCTGCTCTGCGACGTTTTGCTGGTCCTGAACTCAGCTGTGTCTCTAAGACAAGTCAGTTCAGCCTGGCTGGTTCTCTAACTTCCTTTACTTTTTTTCACTAGTTTCTTCAGGAAGATACAATGGAGAAGCTTGGTGAGATTGTCGAAAAATACCCTTGTGCCTTCCCTTGCTGGGTGGGGCCCTTCCAGGCATTTTTCTTTATCTATGACCCAGACTATGCAAAGACACTTCTTAGCAGAACAGGTAAGAAAGAGACAAATCTCAAGGACCTAATCCTCCTAGGAGCAAGATGCACATGACCCACAGGCAGAATCTGAAGCAAAGATTAGTGTTGTGCTTTTAAGAGACCCTGGTGCATGTACAGAGGGGGTCAGGTCTCCTAGCCAGGTGAGGGGGATTCAGTGTACCCCCCAATCCTTTTTCTCACTCTTGACTCCAAGGACCTTCACAACCCTGCTGGCCTCACCAGCCTGGCCAGGGGCTTCTTTTGCCTACCTTGGTTTTATGACTTTCATCTCAGCAGCCCTCCCCCACCACCTCCACCATATTGATCATAAGTCTTCTGGAGAAATAGAAGACATTGCCTCTGGCGGTTCAGTATATGTCCCTGGGTACTTGAGCGTTCATTTACCACTCCAAAGTCTTGATTATGATCCAAATTGTGTTCCTTTCTGCATGCTTCTCAGCTCTGTTCTTTTTTGGAGGGTGGGGTGGGGGAGAAGAATCATCTAGCTCTGCCACCCAATCCTATTCCAGAGCTTTTACCATAGACTATCTCATGACACAAAACTAAAATGGCCAACTTTTGCTGTCAGTTTTATAAAACAAAGGTCTCATATTATAGTCTTTTCTATACTTCATGTTCATCACCCTTAACAAAAACTTGCTAAGAGAAAATAGCTTTTCCCTGTTTCCATGTTTCCCTGTCCTGCTTCTCTGATTTGTCTCAAGTTCACCTCTTAAGGACAAACGCTGTAAAACACCTCCATGTTAGGGTCATAAGAACATCAAGAGGCATTTGTACCTTGCTGTCTGGTGTTAGCCACTCTTACCTTCCAACAAGGATAGATGTCCCAATTTCTACTCTAGAATTGGCCACCCACCATCATTCTGACTGATGCAGGCAGTGGAAACCAGAGGAGAATCTTGGTTTGTGTCCCATTTGCCTCCTGGGCCTGGCAGGCCTCTGGAACTGAACCAAGACCCATAGTTTCCTCACCCTCCAGGTGTGCAGGGAGTGACCTGGGCTCCTTTTGCTCACTGTTCATGCTGAATGCGGGCAAATGAAGAACCTTCCCTAACTTGAACTGGTAAAGAGTGGTCCCTCTAATGCTGCCTTTTGTTTCCTTTGCTTGACTTTGCAGATCCCAAGTCGCAGTACCTGTACAATTTCATGACTCCATGTCTAGGTATGTATGTGCCAATGGGAGGGGTAGCCCACAGTCAGTCCACTTCTCCTTTCCAAAGTAGAGCATTGGAAGAGACTCAAATCTGAACTCAAAAGCATCAAGACTAAAGTAGATCCATAATGAGAGTTATCTAGGGGAAGGTGAGGAAGCTCAAAGGTCAGTAAGAACAACTTCCTGGAAGGCTTTCTTGTCCATTGCACTCCTCTAGGTCCCATTTTCAAGGCAGCATGTGTGTGGATTTTCCCCTTCTTTTTCTCTAAAATTGTAGCTTTGCCTTTGTCTTTTTTTATCCTTTCGTCTCTCTTGTTTTCTTGGAGTTCCCCCTTTCTTTCTGGAGTTCTCTTATTTTCATAAACCAATCAGTGTAATTTTCTCTGAAGTACAGTTTGGCAATATTTTGTGAGTTGATAAATTAAGGTCTGTGTCATACAATTGGTATTTATGTTTGACAAGGAAAGAATTAAATGAAAGAATGCAGACTTTGAATTCAGAGCTCCTTAGGTTTGAACCCTTTTCCTACCCCAATAGACTAATTTAATGTGATTTTTTTTTTGGTGGTACTGTGGTTTGAATTCAGGTGCTTCATGCTTGCTAAGAAGGTACTCTACCACTTGAGCCATTCTGCCAGCCCAAATGTGATCTTAAGGAAGTAATTTAATCTCTGCATGCCTCAGTTTCCTCAGCTTTGAAAATGAGACTGTCTTGGCTGTTGTAAGATAAATGAAACACATATTTTTAGTACTCCATGTATTGGCTAGCATTGTAAGACCATCAAATCATGCATCGAGAGCTTCACCTCATATGTTATAAGCACTTGATGATATCATTTCACCTTTTTTTGGCAGTACTAGGATTTGAATTCAAGGCCTCATTGTTAGATAGGCACTCTAGTGCTTGAGCCATGCCTTTAATACTTTTTCACTTTAGTTATTTTTTGGATAGATTCTTGTAGGTTTGCCCAAGGCTGGCCTTAGACTGCAATCCTCCTACCTACAGCCTCCCATATAGCCAGAATTACAGAAGCATACCACCATGCCAATTTATTGGTTGAAATGGGGTCTTGCTAACTTTTTACCTGGTTTAGCTATGAATCACAATCCCCCCATTCTCCACCTCACAAGCAGCTAGGATTGCAGGCATAAGCTGCTGCACTCAGATTTCATTCAAACTTTAAAGTTCTTTGAAAGCCAAATCCTTAATGGTCACTCTGGAAATAGAAGCTGACGATGTATTAGCCTTGGTAAGTGTTTCTGTTACCGGATGGATGGTCTCTAAGGGCTGTGGTCAGAACACTAGTAGGCACTTGCATTCCTCATAGAGAAAGTAGTGATGACCCCCAGCCAGGTGGGATAGATGTACCAGTCTTTGTTTAAAGAGGGTTTTTTAATTGGAAGGGAAATCTATGGGAAAAAATCTGGATAGTCTTTGCAGGATGAGCTAGAGTGATTGACAGGTTTGATTGACAAGGTCTTGTCATACAACATGGGGCACTCTGTGCATGCACTTAAGTTAGCTCTTGGATATTTTAGTTTATATGTATGAGGTGTGAGTTTACCTGAGAGGTAATGGAGGATGTGGCAGAATTGCCTCAATTCTGTCTTGCAACTGCAGAGAATTTATAATTGGAAAGAAACTTACAGCTGCAAAAAATAGCATTGGGCTGAGAAATGCACTGGAAAGAGCCATGCCTCATGGTGCCAGCCAGTGTCCCCAAATCTCTATTGCTAGCCTGCCTCATTTCCCTGTTATGCCATTCACAGACCAGACCTCAAGAAAGGGGTGTCTGGAACCAAGCAGACATCCTCATTTAGCTCCTGATGTGTTTGTGTTCACTGTAGAGTTTATGGATTGGCTTTCAGTGGAAAGAATATGAATATTTGTCATTTTCCTACACATACGGGCTAAGGAGCTGGGCGCCAGTGGCTCATGCCTGTAATCCTACCTACTCAGGAGACAGAAATCAGGAGGATCATGGTTTGAAGTCAGCCCATGCAAATAGTTCGTGAGACCCTGTCTCAAAAACACCCATCATAATAAAGGGCTGGTGGAGTGGCTCAAGGTGTAGGCTCTGAGTTCAAATCCCAGTACTGAAAAAAAAGGGGGGGACTAGGTTAAGTATGTTATTATACACTTTCATTTAATCTGCACAACACAGGGAAGTAGGTATTTATTATCATACTTTATTGTTGAGAAAGCTAAGCCTCAGGAAGGCTAAGTAACTTTCTCAGTCACTACATAGGTAGTGATTGATTTTCGAATTAGCATTCTCATTTCCTCAGGTTTTGAAACTTATCACACCTTGAAACTTCCTCACGATATTAAATACATCTGTCCCAGGTGTAAGTACCAAAACTCAGCACCTCTTTGACATTCCACTATTTCATGACTACTGTGGGTCATGCTCACTGCATGCTGGCTGAGTTTTCTCATTTCTGCTTCTTCTTCTCACATAATGAAATGGCGTCAGGTTTTGTGCCTTTTATTTCTTAAGGGAAAGGACTCCTCAATCTAAATGGGCCCAAGTGGTTCCAGCACCGCCACCTACTAAATACTGGATTCCACTGTGATATCCTGAAAACTCATGTTGAGGCAATGGTCCATTCTGTGAACACAATGCTGGTGAGTGAAGTAAGGAAGTGAAACTCTGGTACACTGCAAAGTGCTTCCACCGGGACTGTAATTAGGCATACATTTAGCGGACAGTGAAAATCAAAAGTTGATTAATCAGTGTGCAAGTACCCATTGAGCAATAGGTGTCTATGTTCATCCACTGATTTTAAAAAAGACCTAGTCTTATATATTAAATATATTCTGAGCTTCTTTGGCAGTAAACCAGGTACCAAGTGGTGAGATTCAGATAGGGAGTCCTGTAGGTGACAGGTAAGGAAGCCAAGAGCAGCTAGAGCAGCTTCAGATCCCAGAAGAGACTCAAATTTACTAAGAAATATAAGCTGGACCTGCATGCATAGATAATATGGATAAGAGAGTTCTAGGCCAAGTAAGTCAGAGGAACAAAGGTTTGAAGGTTGAAATGAACTTGCCCGATGGCCCTGAAGGTCTGAGCAAAAGGTAAATGTCTCTATTACAGTCACAGACATGAGTTTCCTCGTGTAGCTTGTTGGTGGAGGATTCTTAGAAGGAGACCTGCACCTTTCAAAGGGTCAGGAGGATACTGCTTGCACACGAGCATTCCTGTGAGCAGCCTCTGGTTTAAGAATGAGTTTTATTCCAAAGCTCTACTTGTACAACGGTTTTAATTTTTAAGTTGTGTTTCTTAAAATCAAACAATTAATTAACATAGTTTCCTCATAAACACTTCAAAGGCCACAAAGCCAAATTTCCCTCCATCCTCATCTGCATCTTCATCTCTGTTCTCAGAGGAACCTCTATTACCAGCTCATCAGCTGGGTCCTCCAGCCAAGCTCCCAGAAGCAGATTTAATCCCTGCTGGGTTTGTGGTGGGAACATGGGTATGAGTGCTCAAGGCAGAGTTCCAGACTGCACCAGGCACAGGCTAGATGGAGGAGAGCATCCTCTCCAATTCTGGTGCTGCTCAGCATTCAGCAAAATTGCAAATCTGCCAGTGGCTGTATTTGAGTTTCTCCTCCATTTCTAGGAGCCATGTCTGCCCTCCTCGTTTCTCAGTCCCATGAACTGAGACTGAAGTCACACTTCCTCCCTCTGCTGAATGGTTCCAAAGTGACTCGAACTTTGACATCTGCCCTTGCTCTCATTTATTCCAAATTCGCCACTGTACTCATCAATGCACACTGCATACATAGGCTAACATCTCATACTGAACCTGATGTACAATTAATACATGTTAATCAAAAATAAGATCTTTTATGGCCAAGTGTGGTAGTGTATTCCTGTAATCCCAGCTACTTGAGAGACAGAGATAGGAGGCTCACAGTCTGAAGCTGGCCTGGACAAAAGCATGAGACCCTATCTGAAAAACTAACTAAAGCAAAAACGGCTGAGGTGTGGCTCAAGTGTTAGAACGCTTGCCTCACAAGCACGAGACTCTGAGTTGAGTTTCTACCCCAATACTGCCTAAAATAAAACATAAAATATTTTAAACTTCTCAGATGCAAGCCTTCTGACTAAACAATTGACACTTAGGTCAAAGTTATTAAAACACTCTTTGCCTTTTATTCAGTCTCCAAGTCCTTATCATTTAAGCTTACCACCTGTAGTTTGAGCTGAATGTCACCAGTCCAATTTTTTGCATTTTTACACAAAGAATGCTTATTGTGATAAATACATTTATAACTGGGGACTTTGTGGCAGTTTAGAAAGTCAAGCAAAGCATTTCAGGCAGTGCAAGTAGGTCTTTTTTTTTTGTAGGGAAGCAGGGAGAGCACAGTCCGTGCTTAGCCAGGAGCCAGCTCCCTGCAGCAACTTCCCCAGCTTCAATCTGTCCCCTGAATCTGGAATGTTTTTGAAAATGTTCCAAGTATATCTTAAGTGTGGTGTGGCGATTGAGAGTAGAATGGAGTGTCTAGCGAGTTTGGGATTGAAGGTGGAGGAAGCCTCCTGGGGGAGCCCGTTGAGATTCAGGGGCTTGTGTCAGAGATTGTCTGTTATATGGAACTCTGGTCTGTTTGGAATCAGACTTATGACAATAATTGAAAGACTATTTGCTTGATGTGCAGTTTGCTCCGTGATATTTCTCATTCAGCTGGGTGCATGCTTCCCTTCATCATGTGCAAAGTAAGAACAACAGCTTTTTTACTCTTTGACCTTTGGTTCCTGCAGGGTCAGGGTTGTATCCCTTAGATCATTAGGGCAGGGGCAGGAAGGAGCCTGCAAATAAAGGCAGTCTGATGATGGCAAGGATGTTAACCTTAAACCTTCTCTGCCAGGATAAGTGGGAGAAGATTTGCAGTGCTCAGGAGACAACCGTGGAGGTCTTTGAGCACATCAATTTGATGACCCTGGACACAATCATGAAATGTGCTTTCAGCCAGGAGACCAACTGCCAGATAAACAGGTCAGTGACAGGAAAGGGAAAAAAAAGGTATTTGTTCACCATGATCAGAGTCAATTATTAACACTTCATCCCAACTTTATCTTTCAGCACCCATGATCCTTACATAAAAGCAACGTTTGAACTCAGCAAAATCGTATTTTATCGCTTGTATAATTTCTGGCATCATCATGACATAATTTTCAAATTCAGCCCTCAGGGCCACCACTTCCAGGAGTTAAGCAAAGTTCTGCATCAATATACAGGTAAACAAGCAGGTATTTCTTAGGCTTTGGATTGCCCCAGTCCATACATTGTCATTATTTCATTGTGTCTATCTAGAAGGATAAGTTGCAATGTGAACAGAAGAAGAAATTCTTGTTCTTAATGGAGTTTTTATATGCACACTGCTCAAATCAAGTACAACTTGAATCCTTCAAGAAAGGCTTGCTACATCCTTAGTAGAAGTCTTATCAGAGCTTTACTATGTATTATACATAGAAATTTTAGCATATACAATGAATATTAAAATAAATACAACAAGTAGGCATTTAAGATTTCAAAATACGAATGGCATATGGCTTTTTGGGCAGTGACTGCAGTAATAATCACAGCTACAGCACTCATGCAACACCATAATGAATAGAGGGAGATAACCAGCAAGGACTTGCATTCAAAAGAAGCTTTATTCAAACTTTTAGTTATCTTAGCAAAACATAGACACAAAAATTGAAATAGAATAAACTTTTTAAGCAAGTCAACATTACTTTTCATGAATGCCACAACAGAAAGTACTTATCAAGCAGTTGATCCTTCATCAGCTCCACCATTTACCAGCAGCAACAGGTAACTTGTTGCTTTACGTCAATGTCATCTATGAAGTGGGGATAAAAAAGAATCAGGTAGGGCGGCATGGTGGCTCACACTTGTAATCTTAGCTACTCAGGAGGCAGAGATCAAGAGGATTGTGGGGAGGCCAACCTACGAAAAAAGTTCAGGAGATCCTACCTTAACCAATAGCTAGCTGGGCACAGTGGTGTGTGCCTATCATCCCAGCTATAAGCGGAAGCATAGATAAGAGAATTGCAGGTCAGGCTGGCCCAGGTATAAAAGTAAGACACCATATCTCACTATTGTAAAGAGGGGATTGATATATATATATATGTGTGTATATGTATATGAAAAGAGCACAATCAAACCCCCCAAAAACTGTTTAAAAAGAGGGAGGAGGAAGGAGGAAGGAGGGTTGAGAAAGAGTAACATAGAGGAAGTGAATTTGATCAAAGTACTTTATATGCAAGTTGTAAATATCACAAATGATACCCCTTTGTACAATTAATTTTTCTAATAAAAAGTTGGAAAACAATATTAATAAAAATGTACTGCTAAAAAAAAACACAAAAAGGACTTGCAGTGTGGCACAAGTGGTAAGTGCCTGCCCAGCAAGCATGAAGCCCAGAGTTCAAGCCCCAGTACCACCACCAAAAAATAAAAGAACCTCAGTCAAAGATTTGTGGTGCTGATGAGCATGCTAATAAATGTAAAGCACCTAGGGCCATACCCAGCACTGAATAAGCGTTAAGTGACAGCATAGTTACTATATCAAATACCTTTGCCCCAGGAGGTTTGTGAGACACGCTGACACATCCACGTTCACACTTACATACATACAGACACACAGAGGCATTATAAGGAAGACATGTGGAGAAGTAGGTCAGAAAAAACATTAAGATACAGGTGGGCATTGTATGCAGCAATAGCCCTCAGACCATTTGACTTCATGACTCACACGAAAAATTGTTCATAGTTTGTTAGAGTAAACAGGAGTGGATTGAGGGCAGTTACATAAGACTTGGATGAGACAATTCTTTACATTTTCTTTATGTTGTATAATTATGATACAAACAAAATGAAAAACTTTAGGGGAAAATATTAAATTTGTTGAAAATTTCAAAAACAAAGAATCATTTGTCTTTGTTTAATCAAATTAATCAGTATTTTCTTTTATTGGATTTTTAGTAATCGTTATCAGCTGCCCTCTATTCCAGGGTTTCTCAATCCCTGGCACTAATGACCACAGATTGGATATGTCCAGTCTCTGTTGTGGGGAGCTGCCCTGTGCTCTGTAGACTGTGCAGCTTATCTGACATCTACCCACCAGATGTCAATAGAACTCTCACAGTTGTGCCACAGAATATCCCTCCAGATATTGCTGAATGTCCCTGGGGTCAAAATCACTCCCTGTTGAGAACCACTGCCTAATAGCCAAGTCATGGAGAAATTCAGTTGTGTTTTCTTACAGTCCTTCTATGCTTTCATTGTTTTTTGTGTTTAAATGTTAGATCTACTTAGAGATTTGTTCCTGTGTATACCACAGTGTGAAGTATTACTCTATTTTTTCCAAATCGTTATCCAGTCATTCCATCACTTGTTTATTTAAAAGTTCATCCTTGTCAGTGATCTTAGGCAAACACCATTGTCATATTTTAACCTGATTATGTATTTGGATCCATTTCTGGATGTTCTCTTCTATTCCATTAGTCTGCCTATTAATCTATTAATGTGTTTTAGCTGAAGAGATTTTTGTAAGGTTTTTGTTTAACATTAATGGATTTTCTTTTTAGAGAAGTTTTAGATTTATAGAAAATTGAGCGGAAAGTACAGAGAGCTCCCATGTGCCTTCTCAGCCTTCCCCTCCATGCAGTATCTCTGTTGTTAGCATCTTGCATCACTCTGGTTCATTTGTTGTAGTAGATATGCCATTATGGGTACATGATGATTAACCAAGGACCATAAGTTACTTTAAGGTGCACTCTGTGTTGCACACTCAATGAGTTTTGACAAATGTATAATGATGTATTTCCACCATTGTAGAGTATATAAAATAGTTTAACTCCCCCTAAAAATTCTTCTAGAGTTCATCTATTTATCCCTTCCTTCCTCTCTCAGATTGGCTTTTTTCACTTAGCAATATGCATGCAAAGTTCCTCCATGTATTTTCATGACTTGTTAACTCATTTTTTTTGCTAAATAATGTTCTATTTATATACTTACCATGATTTGTTTACCCATTCACCTGTTGAAAAACATCTTTGTTACTTCTGAGTTTGGGTAATTATGAATAAAGCTACTAGAAACATCTATGTGCAGGTTTTTGTGCAGACATAAGTTTTTGATTCATTTGGGTAAATATCAGGGGCATGATTATTGGATACCATGCTAAAAGTATGTGTAGTTCTATGAGAAACTGCCATTCTGCCTTCCATCTCTCATTCCCATCATCAACGAATGAGAGCTCCTGGTCCTTGCCAACATTTAACATTATCACTCTGTGGGATTTTAGCCATTCTGATAAGTATGTAATGGAATTAAGTTATTATAATTTGCATTTCCCTGATGGCATATGATGCTGAAAAAGAAAAAGAAATGACAAGGGGAAAACAACTCTTGATACATAGAATTATTTCAGGACTCATTAATAGTGCAAAGGAATTACATTGTGTAAAATTTCATAGATGCATACAGTTTACCTTGAACAAGTTCACCCCCTCCATTATATTCCCATTTCAAACAGTATTTGGTGGGTTTCATTATGCTGTCTTCATACATATGCATGTAATATACTTTGAGCCTCTTTACCTCCAGGTATCCTCTCTTATCCCCTTCATCCTCCTCACTGATTCCATCCTCTCTTGTAATCTCCCTGTTATATTGATGTCCCATTTTTATTATTATTATTATTATTATTATTTTTAAACCTAGATTCCACATATGAGCAAAAACAACTATTTGGCTTTTTGAGCTTGGTTTATTTCACTCAAAATGATGATCTCCAGTTCTATCCATTTTCCTCCAAACAGTACAATTTCATTCTTCTTCATGGCTAGATAATACTCCATCACACACACACACACACACACACACACACACACACATGTATATATATATATATATATATATATATATGTACATGCACATTATATCACATTTTTATCCATTCTTCAGTTGTTGGGCATCTAGGCTGATTCCATAGCTTGACTATTGTACATAGTACTGCAGTAAACATGGGTGTGCAGGTATCTGTCTTGTATATTGATTTACCACTCCCAAGAGTAGTATAGCAGGGTCATAAGGTATGTCTGTGTTTAGCTTTTTGATGAACCTCTATACTGATTTCCATAGAGGTTGCATTAATTTACATTCCCACCAACAGTGTAAGTGGAATGTTTTTGAAAATTACAACATACTGCTTTACTTACTTCTACATCTATCCAAGTACATTTTTAAAAACTAGATGAAATGGGAACTTTTAAGTAACAAAATTGACCCCAACAGAAATTTTTTTAAAAATTTAAACCACTTCCTGTAGAAGAAGTTAGTTTTAAATATTAGTTCTGCTCTGTATTTTGGCTTTTTTTGTCTTTTGACCCCTTCAATTATATATATGCTGGATTTTTTTTCCTATCTTCTGTTTCATTTGGTAATTCCATGAAAATAAGATTTTAGAATGAGGAAGAAAAGAATCATTGGCTACTTTCATCTAAATTTGTAATGATATTCCTTACCTACTGATATAAACTACATTTTTGTTCTGTTCTGGTTATCAAAATTGACCATTCATAGAAAATAAACCATCTGTGAAAAGTTAATCTATTTAAATGTAATGTATCCACTCTGGCCTCCAGAAAGCAAGCAAGATTTTTGAAGCTACTCATGGACCATGGCTTGCTTTGTAATTTATTTGACTTTAACTTTATTGTCACCTGGGTAATGGGGAACTATTATTCTACCCAGAAAAGATAATTCAGGATAGAACAAAATGCTTCAAGACTGGAACGAAGCAGGATAACACTCAGAAGAAGTATCAAGATATTCTGGACATTGTCCTTTCTGCCCAGGTAAATGTTCTAAATACCGAGTCTGCTCAAATAACTTGTTGATTTTGTGGTTTGGTGAGTAAGTGGACTTGGGGTGGGGAGATAACAGCAAAATCAGCCAACTAAATTTAACAGTGCTTTGAATTGAGGGGTGGCTCCTTGCAGTTTGAGGTAAAAGTCAAATCCTGTAGCTCTGTCACTAGGGGAGTTGGTGAAGTCTAAATTAGTTAATTGACAAGATTTCACAGAGATACATGAAAATGGGTCATGGGGAAACATGTAAAATGAGGAGAAGGAGGTGGGGCTGGAAATCCAAAGAAATCTGGGAGATTGAGGAGAATGTCTGGGTCCTAATGACCAGGAGCCCACTTTGCAAAGCCTGCTTTTGCTATCTGACATTGGTTCTCCTTTTGCTTTAGGCAAAGTGTGGTTCACACTATGTACCTGTTGAACTGAATTAAAATTAAAACCCTTCGGGGGGAGGGGGGAGAAATGACACAAACATTGTATGCACATATGAATAAAAGAAAAAAAATTAAATTAAATTAAACCCTTCTTTCAAACCCTAAATTTTCCCTTAAAACTATTATTTTGCTCATGCCTCCAATCATCTGTAAACTGACATTTCATTAAAATGTCTTTACATTCTAGGCTGGAAATGAGGACAGCTTCTCAGATGCTGATGTGCGGTCCGAAGTGAACACGTTTATGTTGGCAGGTCATGATGCCTCAGCAGCCGGCCTCTCTTGGCTCCTCTATTGCCTGGCTCTGAACCCTGAGCACCAGGAGAAATGCCGGGAAGAGGTCAGAAGCATCCTAGGAGATGGATCTTCCATCACCTGGTAAGATCTGCATCCCTAAATATTTCATCCTAGTTATCCTCCTGGGATTTTGTCCTTTTTTTTGCCTCGGTACCTTAATGAGTGCAATGCCTTAAGATACGGATATGTAGAAGCTGAGGAAGCAGGCTATTTTTCTATTCTTTCTCAAAAAGCCCCAAATTAGCCCCTTGTCTTTTGTAAAAGAAGTTCACTCATCCAGAAATTAATTGCCTTTGTTTTTGTGCTCCATGGTATGTAAAATGTCACATTTCTGTCTTTCACCCAAACTGGGGCACATTGGAAATGAGTAGTTAACCTGAGGCTTGCTAGTAGAGCTTGAGTGGAAGGCATCAGTGGGGCTCCTCTTCTGAGAGAGTTGAATGAGTAACTGCATCATTTAAGAGTCATCAGGGACACTCTATCCCTTCCCCTTGTCACCAACTTCATTCCTCAGGATGGACTTTGAACATGGTATTAGATGGTACCTATAGTTGAAATTAGCAAATATGAACTGAGGACACTAAAAATGATTAAAATTTGTGGGCCCTGCCTTCAATAAGCTCACAGTCTAATGCAAGAGATAGACCTCCATACAGCAATTGAAATATATGTGGTAAGGACAATAACAGAGATATGTGTTGGTCACCAGAGAGGCTTAGAAGATAAGCACCTACCCTAAGGGAAGAAGGAGCTCAAGGAGACTTCCCTAGGGACCTGACAATCTGCCTCTTATAGAATGAGTAGGCGTTCACTAGGTAGGATGCTTCAACTTTACCTGCTAGACTTTACTGTTAATAAAGTCTAGGTTATGGATTTGCCCTCAGATATGCTGTTCGCAAAGAAAAAAATATGTCCCTAGCATAAATCACACCTTCTACTCTAGCTACTCAAAAGGGCAGAAAAATAGAAATGACCACACAGCAGCATGACTAGAAAACACACACACATACACCTACCATATGTAAAGATCAGCTCAATTGAAATATTTAGGCCTTCTTTAACAAACATTGTTGGGAAAACTGGATATCCACCTGCAGTGAAACTAGATCCATGTTTGATATACCCTGTACAAGTATCAATTCAAAATGGATTAAGGACCTTCATATCAGACCTGAAACCTTGAAGTACTGGAAAGAGCAAGGAATATACTGGAAGCAATAGGCATAGGCAAGGACTTCCTCAGTAGAACTCAAGAGGCTTAGCAACTAAAATAAAAGATCAACAAATGGGATTTCATGGAATTAAAAAGCTTCTACTCAACAAAAAAATGGTCTCTAAATTGAAGACACCACCCACAGACTGGAAGAAAACATTTGCTAGCTATACATCAGACCAGGGACTGATAACCAGAATATACATGGAGTTCAAAAAACTAAGCTCCCAAAAATCAATGACTCAAGAAAGAAATAGGCAACTGAACTTTTTCAAAGGAAAAAGTCCAAATGGCTAAAAAAGCACATGAAAAAAATGCTCACTGGCCCTAAAGGAAAGGCAAATCAAAACCACACCAAGATTCCACCTCACTCCTGTTAGAACATACACTGCTGGTGGGAATGTAAATTAGTACAACTATTATGGAAAACAGTATGGAGTCTCCTTAACAAACTAAAAATAGATCTGCCATCAGATCCAACAATACCATTCCTAGGGATATACCCAAAAGATGTGAGTCAGGTTATAACAAAGGCACTTGCATGTTTATTGTGGCATTATTCACAATAGCTAAGCTATGGAAATAGCCAAGATGCCCCACTACCAATGAAAGGATTAAGAACATGTGGTATTTATACATAATGGAATTTTACTCAGCCACAAAGAAAGTGAAATTTTGTCATTCTCAAGTAAATTGATGGATCTGGAGAATATCATCTTAAGTGAAGTTAGTCAGGCTCAGAAGGACAAAAATTGTATGTTCTCCCTCATATGCAGATTATAGACGTAAAACAAATGCAGCAATATAATGGGACGTGGGTCACACCAAGGGGAGACTGTGCATGGGAGGGATAGGTTAAGGGAAGGAAACCCTTTCCTCCCTTCCCTTGAATTTGGTTAATGTGCTCACCATATAGGAATGAATATAGAAATCTCAAACTGGCTGGGGCCACAATGAGAAGGGGACTAGGGAGAAGTGAAGAGAAGTAAAAGAGATGAACCAATTGGGGTTGTAACACATACATGTATGGAAACAACACAAGGAAACTCCTGTGTAGCTATCTTTATCTCAAACTAGCCAAAACAACATGTTTCTCTTTAAAAAAAAAAAAGAAGAAGAAAAAGAAGGAAAGAAAGAGAAAGAAAGAAATATATTTAGGCTTAACTTAAATAGCATAAAATACAATTTTGAGTAATCATTTTTACTGACAAAAAGTGTGTGTGTGTAAAATGTCACATTTCTTTGTTTCACTGGGGCTCTGGCACATGGGAAGTGAGTAGTTAACTTGAGACCTAAAGGGAAACTTGAATGGACTTAGTGGAATTCTTTTTCTTTGTTTGTATATTTGCCTAAGTATATGGTATGCAGCATGATGTTTTGATCTGTGTATGCATCGTGGAATAACTAAATCAGTGGACATATCATTGGTTACATATTTGTTTTCTGTGGTAGAACATTTATAATCTGTTCTCTTGGCAATTTCCAAGTATATAATAAATGGTTATTAACATAATTATTAGCATAATTATGTTATAAAACAGATCTCCTAAATTAATTTCTCCTATCTAATTGAAATTTGTTTCCCTTGACTAGCATCTCCAGCATCTCCCCAGTCTCCCACATCCCTGATAAGCACCTGCTCTCTGCTTTTATGAATCCTACCTTTTTATATTCCATATATAATTGAGATCATGTGGTATTTGTCTTTCTGTGCCTAGTTTATTTCACTTAACATAATGTTCTTCAGGTTCATCTGTATTTCTGCAAATGACAGAATTTCCTTCTTTTTTGGGTTAACATTATTGTGTTGTGTATATATATCACATTTTCTTTATCCATTCATTTGATGAGGGACATTTAGGTTGATTCCATCTCTGACTACTGTGAATAATGCTATAATAAAGATAGGAATGTCAATGTCTCTTTGAAATTCTGATTTCATTTCGTTTGAATATATATATATCTAGTATTGAAATTACTGGATCATATGGTACTTCTATTTATAATTTTGAGGAACCTCCATACTATTTTCAATAAAATTGTATTAATTTACATTGTTACCAACAGTGTACAAGGATTCCCTTTTCTCTACATTCTCATCAACATTTATCATTCTTTTTTATTTTTGATAATAGCTACTCTAACAGGTGTGAGATGATATTGTAGTTTTAATTTGCATTTCTTTGATGATTAGCAATGTTGAACATTTTTCATATACCCGTTGGACATTTGAATGTCTTTTTTTTCTTTTTGAGAAATATTGGGATTTGAACTCAGGGCCTCATGCTTACTAGACAAGTGCTCTATCACTTGAGCCATGCCTTCAGCCCTATTTGCTTCTTTTAAGAAATAGTCTATTTAGGTCCTTTGTCTATTTTTTCAGTCAGGTTATTTATTTTCTTGATATGGAGTTGTTTGAGTTCCTTATATGTTTTTGATATTAATTCCTTGTCATATTTATAGTTTGTAAATATTTCCTCCTATTTTGTAGGTTGTCTCTTCACTCTGTTTATTGATTCCTTTGTTATGCATAAGATTTTTAGTTGATGCAAACTCATTTGTCTATTTTTACTTTTATTGCCTGTGCTTTGGGGATTGTATTCAAATTGACCCATGTCAAGAATCTTTTCCCCTTTGTTTTTCTAGTAGTTTTATAGTTTCAGATCTTTTAAGACTTTAATCTACTTTAAGTTGATTTTTGTAGGCGAAGTGAGATAAGGGTCCAATTTTATTCTTCTACATGTACATATCCAGTTTTCTCAGCACCATTCATTGAAGATTGTCCTTTCTACCATCGTGTGTTCTTGGCACTTTTGTTGATTCATTGTCCATAGTGTGTGGATTATTTCTGTACACTTTACCCATTCCATTGGTTTATGTGTCTTGTTTTTGAGAAAGCACCTTCATATTTTGATTGCTACATGCTTGCAGTAGATTATCTGATCAAGTACTGCCTCCCACAAGCACTTTTGTCTATAGTGAAATTACTATTGCTGTAGGGGTGTCCAAGTGCGGAACCTCATATCCTCCCCATCTTTCTGAGTAATTATTTGCATTCATTCATTGGATTTAGAAAAGTGTTTCTATCAGTTCCCGACATAAATTAGATAATTAAACCTTAACTAGGGTAGATACCTATGTGTCTAAGTATTGACTTTTTTCTCATTCTTGTTTGGCCTAAATTTGAAAATAGCAACTAATTCTCTGCCAGATTAGAAAAAGAAAAGTCCAAATGATCTGTTAACTGTCATCTATTTTAATAAGAGAAAGGGCAAAGATACTGCAGAGAACAAAACATGTTCTCTGTATAGTCAGTGAAATTTGTATGTGGCGTTCTGAGAATTTATTATTCTTCTAGACAATAAAACCATACTGCAAAAGAGCAATTTCTAAGAAAATTGCCCAACTTCTCAATTTGGTTCCCAGTCAGACCATTTCTATGTTGACGTAAAATCCTTTTCTTCTTTTTGTACCATGATTAAGATGGGCAAAATTGGTTTTCTTAATTATGCAAAGTGCCAGGGTAAGCAAAATTACCCTTTTATCCTAAACTAGGGAGGAAAGAGTACAAAATTAAAATTTCACATTATCAAATGGCCAAAGCCTGCTTTCAAAATAAGTAATTGAAAAAAAGAAATAGAAATAAAATTAAGCAAATAGATTAAATATATGCAGCCATTTTATTGAACCCACCTGACTACCTACAATGCAAATTAAAAAATTTTTATTCTTCTTCTGATGACACTTCAAACTTTCTCTTATGGGGCAAGTTCTTTTCAACTCAGAAGCTAAATCCTGAGTGGTCTCAGAGAGTTCCCACCCACTTAAATCCCAAGCACAGTCTCATGTCAATAATTAGCTGTCGGACCAGCTGGGCACCAGTGGTTCATGTCTATAATCCTCACTACTCAGGAGGCAGAGATCAGGAGGGTTGAAGTTTGAAGCCAGCCCCAGGCAAATAGTTCACAAGACCTTATCTCAAAAACTCCATCAGAGAAAGGGCTAGCAGAATGGCTTAAGTGGTAAGAGTGCCTGACTAGCAAGTGTAAGGCCCTGAGTTCAAACCCCAATGCCACCAGATAAAATAAATAAACTGTTGGACAAAGCCTCCAAATAGTCATCTACCTGGAGGTCTCCCTCCATCACAGCTCAGTACTTCTTTGGCCCTGGAAGCCAGCAAAGGGTGGGAGTTTGGTTGGCTGATTAGGCTGATTAGCTTATTCTTTCTGACCAGCTACTCCCCTCCCAGAAGTTCTGACCCTTCCAGAAATAATTCCAGCAAGAGAGATGAGGAGAAAGGGGTGCATGCCTAGAGTTTGGTCGGTATTCAGTGCTCCCTTTCTCTCAAAGTGTCCTCAGTGGGTGTCTTGGAGACCCTGTCACTGGAACTTACCAATGTTGATTTACAGGACAAGGGAATTCTGGCCCTTGGGCAGAGTCTTTCTCCAGCTTTTTCCAGAACTGTCCCTCCTCTGGTCAGTTCACTGGTCCACAGGACACCCTTTTGCATTCCTGCCCTGCCTCTGCTGTTCTACCCAGCCTCTCTGTTCTGAGTCACAGCCTTTCCTGCCAGTCCTGTGCTCCCCAAACTCCAGGGATTAAGTGTCAAATCATCTAAGTGACCCTCGTGAAACCTCCATTTGTTTGTGTAAGATGGGAGAACACCTCCTCCATTCTCCACAGCACTCTGGCATTCCAACAATTCTCCTTACCAAGGTCGTTTTTCTCTCTCAAACCTCTCCAGCCTCCTGTGATAAACTAAGGTTTGCAACACTGCTTTTGAGAAATCTCCTTAACAAACCCTTTACTGATCGGTTAGCACCTCACTGTGTAATGATGGTATGTGGTATGTGGCACTGGGTGATTCCTCCACCTCTGGGACCTCAGCTGATCCTGAGGCAGAAAGAGTCCCATTTTAATAATCAGTTATATCAACCCATGACAAACCCTGAGGTTAACATTTACTAGGAAAAAACATCTACTAGAAAAAAAAGTCAATATTTACAAACTGGATATGGAATCTGAGTCCCTGCCTTCCTCCCTTGTCCTCACAGGGACCAGCTGAGTGAGACGCCGTACACCACAATGTGCATCAAGGAGATGTTCCGATTGATTCCCCCAGTCCCATCCATTTCCAGAGAGCTCAGCAAGCCCCTTACCTTCCCAGATGGACGCTCGTTGCCTGCAGGTCTTTGCATTCTTTTTCTAACCAGTTCCTAGGGACCATGGGATCCTGGGGACCACAGTAACAATGATTGGTAGGTTTCTTAACTCCTAAAGAAGTAAAAAAATTCAGCTGGGCACCGTGGCTCATGCCTGTAATACTAGCTACTCAGGAGGCAGAGATCAGGAGTATTGTGGTTCGAAGCCAGTTGGAAAAATAGTTCATGAGACCCTATCTCAAAAAAACTCACCACAAAAAAGGGCTAGTGGAGTGGCCCAAGTGGTAGAGTGCCTGCCTGGCAGGTGTGAACCCCCAAGTTCAAACCCCAGTACTGCTAAAAAAGGAAAATGCCAAAAATTAATCATAGGACCTTTGCCTTTGATTTGGGTATCCATTAAGAGCTCAGAAGATAATTCCTTTACCAGATGTGAGTCTTAGTGACTTTTCCCATGCCACATTGCCAGTTGCAGCAAAACTAGGCCCAGAACCCACATTTCCAGAATTCCATCCAGGATTTCTTCCATGGTGACACACATTGTCTTTTTTAGGCTGAGTGTGAGACTTTATGGAAAAATGAAGAGAATTGTCAGCAAAGCTGAAGTCACACAGAGACTCCATACTTGAAGCATTTAGATATTTTCTTTGGTTATTTGGTCTGGGGAGGGAGGTTGGTAGTACTGGGGTTTGAACTCAGGGTCTTACACTTGCTAGGCAGGTGCTCTGCCACTTGATCCATGCCCCCCAGCTGAAGCATACAGATTTCTGAACATGGCACATAGAAGTCAGCAGGGTCACACAAAACACCCTTTCATTTGTCTGCTTCAGTGTCCTATTAACACTTGCTTTAGTAAACAAGTCAACAGGATTGCTTCTGGCAAAACTTGCAGCCTGTCACTGTAACTTTGTTGACAGATCCAAAATTATTTACCAGAATAACTTCTGGTAACAAAACGATGCTCCAATGCTTTCTCCTTCATCTTTCTTTTTTTATCCCAAACCACATGAATATTTGCCAAAATTCCCCATCTTCCACAGATGAACAGCAGCAACAGAAATTATCCACTGGATCTTCACGATGGAATTACAGTTCTGTTCGCATGTAGCCAAACTGTCTCCAGTGGGTGCTTTCTAGTACATTAACATATATTTAAGTGATTTCCAAATGTGGCCAAACATAAGCACAGTTTAGCACTTTGATATGATATCAACGACTCCTTAGGGTAAAATCATGAACCACTAACTTGAAAACTAAGGTACAAACCCAAGCCTCTTCTTCCCATGGGTCCCTTCCTGGTGGTTTCAGCTTTGGCACACAGTTCTGCCAGGGCCTAGCTCTTCCAGAGGAAAGATCTTGCAGAAGAACAGTGTAACAGTAGCCTGCAATGTGCTTTTTCTCTTGCATTCTCTTTTATTTCCCTCCTGCCTCAGGAATGACTGTGGTTCTCAGTATTTGGGGTCTTCACCATAACCCTGCTGTCTGGAAAAGCCCAAAGGTAGGACTCTTCCACAGACATAATTAAAAAAAAGTAATACTGTGCAATTCGTGTGTGGGCAGCTAAGCATGCAAGTGGCTCTACACTTATAACAAATGACATAAAGCAAACAAAAATAAGCATGAAAACCAAAAACACTTGCCCACTAGTGGAAACTTGTCCTCTTCCCCATTCCTAATTTGTCTTGATTTGAATGACCAGATTGTCATAATGCCTCCCAATCCTGCTTTGAATTGTCACAGTCTCTACTTCAGTCACTTAGCCTGTCAAACTGTGCCAACCTCTCACCTAGATATCTGCAAGCCTGTAGACAGACAATATTTCAGGCAAATCTGCCTCATTTTTGCTGAGTGGAAGAATCAAGATCTTAGCGTGAAATCAAAGGCACAATCAAGTTAGGCAATATGAGTGCTTTGTAAAGGAACAACTTGTGGGGGGAGTTGGGAGAAGCAAATCAGAACAGATACGTGCCTAAAGTTCTTATGTCTTCTAGGCTTGATTTGATCCAACAGGGAAGGTTACAGAAACTGGAGAGAGAGCTTCAGGAGAAAAGACCATCAGACAGGTGCTGTGGTAAAGATGCAGCCAACCTGAGACAGCTGATAGGGAAGACCCAAGGAATAAGTACCCCAAATTATTTCTCCTCCCACTCTCCAGGTCCCCCAGTCAGTGGCTTTTCCAAACCCAATGGGAAACCATGTAGGTCAGTTTCCTGGAGCCCAGAAAAAGCAGAGAAAGAAAAAGGAGGATCTGGATAGGCAAAAAGATGTATAGCAACTCTGAGTCCTTTCATTCAGTGTTCTTGAAACTCAAACATAAGTACCAGTACCTTCTCTTATGTAGGCAACTAGGGTTTAAGACCTGTTAGATGGAATAGGAAACTGGACCACTATATCTCATTTGGGCTTGACTTCTCAGTGGGTGCATGCTTAATACTACTTGCCACTATATTTTTGCTTTTGCCTTACTTAGTCTGGCCAGAAAACAAGTCAATTGGAAACTAGATAAGTCTTCAGGTCCAGTGGTACATTGTCCAGTGAAGCAGCCATTAGCCACATGTAGCTACAGAGTACCTGAAATGAGACTAGTTGAAGTTTAGATGTGGATTTTGAAGGCATAGTACCCAAAAAAGTGAAATATTTCCTTAATAATTATTTGTATTGACTACTAGTTAAAACAATAGGTTTTTGTTAAATAATGTTATTAAATGTGATTTCATGTTTTTCAAAAGCAGTTACCAGAACATTTTAAATTACATATGTGGTTCACATGTTTCTACTGATCAGCGCTAAGAAGTTCTGTGTTAATGTTGTCTTGAAGGTGATGCTGATGTCTTCTGATTTCAGGTCTTTGACCCCTTGAGATTCACTAAGGAGAATTCTGATCAAAGACACCCCTATGCCTTCTTACCATTCTCAGCAGGACCAAGGTGAGGACAATTTGGAGTTGCTAAAACTGCACAGAAATGTTTAGTTAGGAACAGCTCATTCCCACTAGCCTTTTGGAGCCATAAATTCTTCCACAGAACCCCTGTCTTCTCATGAGGCACATGCCTCCTGGTGCCTGTTTGAGCCCCTAAAAGTCAGTTTCACAAAGGACAGCATTCTCTATCGCATCTATGTAGCCATGCCTCAGAAAGTGACCCCACACCGTAGGTCTTGCCCATGGCTCAGTGCAGTCTGCCTCCACGCAGGAGAAGCAGTTCTCTAAATGACTCCGGCCATCAGAGCATCACGTTGGACTCTCCCAATCTATATTCTTACAGGGAACCATGTAAGGCCAAGTCCAAACATTTCTATGACATTCAGTGTGAAATTGTTGCTGTTCTGTGAGCTTCAGACTTTTTCTTCTAGAAACTTATTAAAGAGTCAGCAGGAACACTATTTCTTGAAGCCACACTCTCCTTCTTGCCTCCATGTCTGCAGGAACTGCATTGGGCAGCACTTTGCCATGCTCGAGTTGAAGGTGGCCATTGCCTTGATTCTGCTCCGTTTCAAGGTGACCCCAGACCTCACCAGGCCTCTCTCCTTCTCCAACCACATCATCCTCAAACCCAAGCATGGAATCCATTTGCACTTGAAGAAACTCCTGGAATGCTAGATGCCAGGGTACAGTGACTACACATTTTTAGTCTTTAAGTTTACAGCTAATAATCCAAGCAAGTGGAAAGGAGTCATAGTGCAGTGGAAGGGTCAGAGGTAGCTGGGTTGGCACCATCTGCAAAGCTGCACAAACACATTCCCAGTGTGACACCTAGATCTGTTTTTCTATGACTTTGAGAGATTTTCAAATTTTTTCTATTTGATTCTATCATTAATATTGTACACCAAGAGCTTTGCTAAGTGATGTCCATATATTTTCTGTTGTTTTTTAAAATAATTATTAGGGTCACACAACTAATAGGGAAATGTACATGTGCTCACTGTACAAAATTTTCAACACCAGAAAAACATGTAGAATACAAATGAAAACTCCCACTTTCTCTAGACCATGCCTGATGCCCTGACCAGTCCTACAGCCTTTCCTAAAAACAGAACAATTTGGTGTCCATTCTTTAGGCTTCTTGCCACATGCTCCATATTCTTATGGATGGGATCATATCTATATTATCCTTGATTTTTCACTTGATAAAAATCTACCTTATTTCTTATCATGGATTTGTAGTTTACCTCAATATGTTGTCCTATAATTTATTTATCAATCTTTCTGATTGGATGTTTAAATTATTTATATTTTTTAAATGTGGTTGTTAGCCATTTACATTTATCTTTTATTTTCTTTTTATGTTTTGTCTATACATCATCTATGTTTTCTTATGGTATTATGTTTTCTTATTTATTTTTATTTTTAATACTTGTGGCAGTATTGGGGTTTGGATCAGGATCTCACACTTAGTAGGCAGGTGCTCTACCATGTGAGCTATGCCCCCAACTCTTTTTGCTTTAAGCATTTTTCAGAAAGGTCTCATGCTTTTGCCCAGAGCCAACATCAGACAGTAATCTTCCTACCTATGGCCTCCCATAGATGTGTTCCACCATGCTTGGCTTATTTGTTGAAATGGGGTTCTCACTAACTTTTTTGCCCTGAGCTGGCCTCAAAATGTGATCCACCTGATCTCCACTTCCCAATTAGCTGGGATTACACCTGTGAGCCACTGTGCCTAACTCATATGTTCTTTATATATTGTGGATAATAATCCTTGATTATAGCTTTTCTTTTGCTTTTTCAGATTTTTTTACTTTAAACTGTATTTCTGGTGCCTTTTACCATATGGAACTTTTTAATTTTCATGAAGTAAGATATATACACACTTTTCCTTATAGCTTTTGGGTTTTGAGTCTTGGATAAGAAAATCTTCATTTGGAATATTACAAAAAAAATTCTACATACTTTTCTAATGCCAACTATTCTTGTGAAGCTAAAATTGGATTTGTCTTGCCTTCATGCTAGGTATCAAACTCAGGGCCTTGCACATGCTGGGCAAGTGCTCTACCACTGAGCTATATCCCAGTCCCTGAATGAGAATTTCTTACAGTTTCCAGATTCATGACTCATTGAAACCTAACTAGAAATTTAGATTTGTTTCTAAGTGCAGAGATGGAGGGGGGCTTTGAAGAACTTTAACCAGAGGTAGAACTTGGGGTGAGTTGCATTTTTAAGAAAGCTTTGCATCTGTTTCATGGAGAAGGAATTGATTAGAGAGCAGCAAGAGTGGAAGAGGAAGAAAGGGGCATGGCTAGGAAGCTTTACAGTAGTACAGATAAGGATGATGATGCTTGCCATGATGGTGGCAACAGAGTTGAAGGGAAATGGGTATGACAAAGATTTTAATGTCAGCTGGTAGAGTAGATAGACTGGAAGCACAGCATGAGGGAAAGAAGAGAATACAAGATTTGTGAAGGCTATCCCATCCAATCACAAGGACACTTTTGATAATACTTGGGACCAGTCTGCTCTGCTCTCATGGGGCATCTATCTGTGCTTTACCTTACTGGACATTTTAGTTTTTGGGGAGTTCAGTGGTAAAAGCTATGTGATCACTTCTAATAAAGACAGAAGCTTAGTGTAAGGATGTAGGTGGTTTGTGGGAGCAAGAATTCCCTTAACCAGATAGAAAAATCCATCCTGGGTTTAACAAAACCCAAATCCTGCCAATGGTGTTTGAAGGGATAAAGAAGACTTAACCCTCAAAGGTAGTGGTACTGCATGCCTCCTATAAAAACATCTAGCAGGTTCACACAACTGACATAGCTCCTTGCTTTCTTTTTGTTTCCTCTGTGTCCACATGCACAATTGTGGAAAGCCACCAAATACCTAAGAAGAGCTTCTTCTGCTCCACTGGTTTAATTGGTAACCTATGGCCAACAGGGCTGTATAGGAACTGAAGTGATTATAGTGGCTATATCCATGAGTGCTTAAGTTATTCTGGAACTTATAGCAGAGATCATATTTGTGATGGGTCTGGTTCCTGGTCCCCTTCTCCTATTGGCCTTAGTTGCTTTAAAGTAGCTGCTTTAGTTTCTCTGCGTTGAGGGCAACAAATGCTATCTGGTTTTTTAGGTGCCTTACCTATCCTCATACCTCCTTTCTGTGCTCTCGCCTTTATCATGTGCTCAAAGTCCAGTCCCCTTGTTGTGTTTGCCCTTGATCTAATGTCCACATATGAGGGAGAACATATGATTTTTGGTCTTTTGGGCCAGGCTAACCTCACTCAGAATGATGTTCTCCAATTCCATCCATTTACCAGCGAATGATAACATTTCGTTCTTCTTCATGGCTGCATAAAATTCCATTGTGAATAAATACCACATTTTCTTAATCCACTCATCAGTAGTGGGGAATCTTGGCTGTTTCCATGACTTGGCTATTGTGAATAGTGCTGCAATAAACATGGGTATGCAAGTGCCTCTGGAGTAACCTGTGTCACATTCTTTTGGGTATATCCCCAAGAGTGGTATTGCTGGATCATATGGTAGATCAATGTTTAGCTTTTTAAGTAGCCTCCAAATTTTTTTCCAGAGTGTTGTACTAGTTTAAATTCCTACCAGCAGTATAGAAGGGTTCCTTTTTCCCTGCATCCTTGCCAACACTTGTTGTTAGTGGTGTTGCTAATGATGGCTATTCTAACAGGGGTGAGGTGGAATCTTAGTGTGGTTTTAATTTGCATTTCCTTTATTGCTAGAGATGGTGAGCATTTTTTCATGTGTTTTTTGGCCATTTGAATTTCTTCTTTGTGATGGGTCTGGATATGTCCTTTATAAATTAACCTTGATGGCCTGCTGGCCATCAAGAATCAATTGTTCTTGATTACTGAATTCTTAAGTGCTATGAATGGTCAGCACTGTCTCAGATACCATTTCTATTTTAAAGGTCCCATCCAAGTCCACGCTTAGATGATAGGCTATTTGTAATGTGGATGATTCAACGTCCTTTCCACATCCTTTGTCTACTCCTACAGAAATAGAAGCTTTAGCTGAGTACGTGATTGCCAGCTACTGACCTCATTACCCAGACCCTCTTTCAGTGAGATGTACCTTGTGGCTAGATTTGGGCAGAGCTGTGTGCGATGATGTGTACAACTTCCAGCTAATATCTTCAAAAGGAAAAATGTATGCTCTTTCTTTCCTTTTTATCTCCTTCCTACTTGCTTGGAGTCAGATGTAGTAACAGTGGCTAGAGCTGCTAGATCAGATAATTAACAAAGCTGTGTGTTACACGCACAGGAAATCAATGTGTGTCAATGCCCTGTATAGCTATCCTTATCTCAACCAGCAAAAACCCTTGTTCCTTCCTATTACTGCTTATACTCTCTCTACAACAAAATTAGAAATAAGGGCAAAATAGTTTCTGCTGGGTATTGAGGGGGTGAGGGGGAGAGGGAGGGGGCAGAGTGGGTGGTAAGGGAGGGGGTGGGGGTAGGGGGGAGAAATGACCCAAGCCTTGTATGCACATATGAATAATAAAATTTAAAAAAAAAAGCTGTGTGTTAAAAATGGCAGATAGAAGGAACCCAGTGTCTGGATAACTTTGGACAGCAAACCATCCTACTATTTCCGGGCCACTCTCTGAGAGAGAAATAAATTTTTATCTTATTTAAACTCCTGTCTTTGGGGACTTTTAGTTATAGTAGGTCATTGTTAATATAACGAGAGCTTTCTTTTATTTCATATGTGTTCAGATAATCAAGATCATTTGGCATGGATAGAAGACCTCTACTGTTTGTTTCAAGGTTATTTAAATTATTCAACTGTTTGTTATAATTTTGTTTCTAAGAGGCATGCAGGAAAGGGGTGGTTTCCATTACCAAATATCCAGTTTCAAGCCAGGAATGGACCAGGTGGACAAGTATCTTGAAGAAGCCACAAAGGCCTAAATAAACATGACTCACTCTTTCTCAATCCCTCAGCTGGGAGATGGCACACAGGCGAAAACGATGCTCAGTTTTTTAAATACTAATCTTAGTTTTTCAATAAGGAATAATATGCCTAACCAAGTTGCAAATTATATCAGATGTCATCTTTTATTCTTTGCCTTGTCTGAATCACAGACCTTTTTACAAATCTAAAGAAAATCATGATCTTCCCCAGAAACTTATACATACTCAAGCATGAAGGTTTGTTTATGATTTTACAGTATCAGTCAGCCCATGTGCCCATGCCAAAACCTCTCTGAGAGCCCTTCTTCTGCCTTCCTGTCTTTAAGAACCTTGAAAAATGGCTGTGACTATCAAGGGAACCCATTGGTTTAGGGGGAAAATCATTCCATCCTTAGGCAGCTATCAGTCTCAAAAGTTCTTCAGCATACTGAGCCAGAACTTCACTCATTGATACAACTCAGAAATTTTATATGTATAGTTCTCAGAGTCCTTTTATCATGATGATGTAATTGGACAGAATACAATGTGAGCATCCCCCTTTCTGAGTGGAGCGATACAGTGTCACTGGCAATCTTTTCTAAAATGTTTAATAAAGGCATTGACTTTTTCCTTACTTCCTCCTCCTACTCTCACCCATTGTTCTACAAATTACTGTGCTGGCCACGAGTGTTGTCTAAAGTCTTCTACCTGAAAAATGTTCTGAGATGCACATCCTCTGCCAAAA